AAGTTCTTAAATCCTATTTACATTTTGATAATTCTTGCAAGATTTCAAAGCTTTCTCATTATTAACATAGTTTATGCTGGGTATGGTGGCACATACATGTAATCTCAGTAACTTGAGGATCTAAGCAGATAGATTTTGCAAGTGTGAGGCCAGCATCAGCAACTTAGTGAGAATCCTAAGCAATATAGTGAGACCCTGTATCAAATTAAAAACTGAAAAAGGTCTGGGGATGGTGCTCACTGGTTTAAGCCCCATGTGTTCAATCACCTGTAACAAAAAATTTAAAAATGTGTATAAAAGTATAAAATATAGCTCTCGTGGTGATTTACTATCATTGATGTTTGATGTAATGGTTTGGAAGAACAATCTAATCACCCATATAAGACTGTGAACTTAATCTATAAAGGTTGCCTGTTTTCTGACTGCTCCAAGATCAGCTACTCCCCCATCTCTCTTCCCCTTCTTAGGCCTTGTTATTGCCTGACACTTAATAATATTGAACTGAGGCTTACTAATAGCCTTATAATAGCCTCTATGTGATCAAGTGATGGGAAGATTAATTTGATCCCTACCTTCAAATCAAAAGCAAGAAATTATTAACCTTTGTAAGAAAGGCATGTGGAAAGCCACGATCAGCCAGAAGCTGGGACTCCTGTCAAAGAGTTAGACAAGTAGTGAATACAAAAGAAAAATCCTTCAAGGAAATTAAGAGTTCTGTCCAATGAACACACGAATGATAAGAAAGCAAAACACTGTAATTGCTGCTATGGAGAAAGTTCTAGTGTCTGGATGAAAGATCAAACCAGCCACCACATTCCCTTCAACAAAGTCTAATCCAGACCAAGACCCTAACTCTCTACAATGCTATAAAAGCCAAGAGAGGTGAGGAAGCCACAGAAGAAAATCACAAAGCTAGCAGAGGTGGGTTCATGAGGCTTAAGGAAAGGACCTCTCTAGAACATCAAAACAAGATAAAGCAGCAAGTGCCCATGGAGAAGGCACAGCAAGGTACTAAGAAGGTCTAGCAAGGACCATTGATGATGGTGGCTACAGTAAAAAGCAGATTTTCAGTACAGACTAAACAGCTTTATATTGGAAGGAAAAGTCATCTATGACAGAGTAAGGCATCTTTTCATGGCTGTAACAATATAGCTGAAAAAAATCTAAACAAGGAAAGGTTTATTTTGGTTCATGGTTTCAGAGGTTTTAGTCCATGGTTGGCCAGCTCCTTTGGTTTTAGTCATATAACAAGGCAGAAAAAATAAGGGTGGAGGAAAACTTTCACTTCATGACAGCCAGGAAAGAGAAAGAAAGACAGGTAATGGTGACAAGATACAGTCCTCAAGTGACCCCAAGGACACATTCACTTCAGCTGGTCCCACCTGTACAGTTTCCATCAACATCCAATGGTCCCTTCCCCTGTGAATCCATCATTGGGTTAATCTATTGATGAGATCACAGAGCTCAAGATCCCATGAGTTCCCAGAGCCCTCCCTGTAGACACTGCTGCACTGAGGACCAAGCCTTCAAACAGGAGCCTTTGGGGGACATTCTAGAACCAAATATTAACAAGGACTTCCATAGCTAGGCAGGAGAAATGAAGGCCTGATTCAAAGCCTCACAGAACAGGCTGACACGCTTGTTAGGGATTATTCAAAATCAAAAGTCTTACAGAAGGGGTGAATTCGTTGACTAGAAATCCCATGGGGACCTGGATGGGTGGGAGAAAGTCTATAAGAAACTGAATTGCTCTACCCCAGAAAGGGAGCATTCATTGAGCTGAAGGATCCAGAAGGAAAGGACATCATGCACATCCTTGGGTAATCACAAGGGAAACAAGCATCAGTGAGACATGTAAGACCCGAGTGACTCAGTGGGCAGAAGGACAAGCAACAGCAGCCTTTGGGAGTGAAGCCAAGGACATGTCAAGGACAGATGTGCCCAGAGTGGTTTGAAGATGCTGGGGTCACTGCCTCAAAGAAACCTGCTGAGCTAAAGGCCATTAACCCAGCTGTGCCCTGATTGAAGGACTCTTTCATTTACTTTTGCTTTTTCATCTGTTATTTGCTAGATATGGAGGAGGGAGTTACATTGTATGTTTTAGTAGATAACCTGGCACCAAAAGTATGTCCAGAGGAAGGTGAAGTCATGAGTTTACCTCACCTGCTACAATGTGCAGATGTTTTAGGAACGATTGGACTTTGACAGGGAACCTAATTGGGTTATACATCGGCAGTTTTTTGGAGAAACAGTTGTGAACTGTTATAAAATCCAGTGCCCAGGCCTCTCTCAGACCAATAAGACTGATTCCTCCAGTGAGAACAGGTGGTTGAAGTGAGAGCCACACTCTCAGGAGACTGTGCCATGCAGCCAACTGGAAACCATCATCACAGATAATCCTTATCTAGTTTCAAGGGAGCAGGAGAGCTCCTGTCCTCAGAATGACCCCTGAGAATTGCTGACTTGGCCTTGTGATCCTGTAACTTGATTCTGAAGTGACCCACTTGGAATCCCAAGACCAAGAGTAAAGGAACAGATATGAGTGACCATAAGAGAAATTGCTCCTTAGTTAAGCTGCCATTTTGCTCACAGCTTCTCCATTTTAAATGTGATTGACCAATGAATTAAGTAGGGTATAGTGAGAAGGAATGGGTGGCCACATGTTTGTCTACACTTGCCTCATCTGTCCAGCATTGCCAGGTAGGGTGGACTTTTCTGTCTCTGCATCTAAGATTGAAGCCCTGGCTTCATCCAAGGCCACTTGTGCCAACTGTTATAAGCCAGCTCCTGCATGTGAAGCACCCAAGCCTCTTAGAGCCTGTGAATGACAGCCCCCAGAGCAGCTGCAAGAGAATCAGGGAACATGGATGGGAACAGGGAACATCGTCATTGATGGCTGACTACTTCAACAAGAGGGAGATGGTCACAACAATAACAACAAAAAAATCAGATATCCAGGAATAAATTTAGGAAAATACGAAAGGTACAAATACTAAACGTCTTTTTTACTCCACTGAAGGACATGATTAAACACTGAAGGACATGATTAAAGTATGCCTAAGTGAAAAGCTAGAATATTAAATGTTGTCCAGATTTTTCCTAAATTGGAATATAAATATTGAACTGTACTCCTGGTTCAAAAAACAACAGTTCTACTTTCAGAACTAAAAAAATACTTTCTTCTGGAAGAACAAATACATTCAGAAAACAAAATCTAGGAGAGAAAAACACAATTAAGAACATGTCCTTATCTACATGGTGTGGTTGGAAAAAGAAAGAGAAGGCAAGGAAAGAAACAAGGAAGGAAAGGAACAGACACAAATGGGACTGAGATATATAAATGGAACAATGATGCCATGTGAATCTGCTATGGGATCAAAATGATTGTTGACGGCTTTTTAGGAAAACAGACAAAACATTACATGGTTAAAGAATCATTTGGATGGGCTGTGGTTGTGGCTTAGTGGTAGTGTGCTTACCTCACATGTGCGAGGCCCTGGGCACCATAAAAATAAGTAAAATTAAGTTATTGTGTCCTTCTACAACTAAAATATATGTGTGTGTGTGTATAGATATATTTAAAAGACTCATTTGGAAAAAATGAACTTAGACGATATGACAGCATATTGAACATTTTGACTGGATTAATATGCATTCACTGTCTTCGTGTAATAAACTATAACACATCACCACATTGTTTTCGATGAGTGTGTACAAACAATAAGAAAGGTACTATCACTTCTCCCACTCTACAGATGAGACAAGGGAGACTCAGCAAGTGTAAGGTACTGACCTAAGTCAGATCTGGTTAGAATTCACTCCCAGGAGTTCTGGCGCCAAGGATCCTGGGCAACACCACTTTAAACACATACACCCAGAGGCATGTCCCAGACCCTACTGCTGTGTAACAATGCACCTTAACACTTAGTGGAGTGCTAACCAAATGTCCAGGAACTCAGAAAGGCCAGCTGGGCATTTCCTGCTTGGAGTGTCCACATGGTTGCAGGCATATGTCAGCTGGTGCTGCAGTCATCTGGGAACTGAAGGAGGACTGGACATCCATAGTGACCCACTCACCTGTCAGCAGGTGATGCACGTCTTGGCAAGGAGCTTAGCTTGAGTTGTCACCGGAGCACCTCCTGTACATGCATGTATTTGTATGCATTTATTTTTCTGGACCTTTTTAGAGTCAACACTTCAGTGCATCTTCCTCGCAAACATGGACATTCTCTTACCTTATCTATGATTCAGTTTTGAAAATCTGGAGTTAACACTGTCATATTCAGTTAGCTAATTCACAGACTTAAATTTGGTGATGTCCAGTGATGGATGTCCTCGTATGCTGCAGTCAATGTCCTAGTCAGCTGTGGTGTGCAGTCATGTGCCCACTAGGATGACCACATATACACTGTAGTTCCTTAAGAAGGTATCACCTAGTGACATTGTAGGCATAGTAGTTTGTTATGTAGAATATGACATTTGCACAGCGAAATCCTGTAAGGACACATTTCTCAGAGAATGTCCGTGCAGTTAAGCTACACATAAGTGTATAGACTGCTCATTCTGGGTGTCTCAGATTTTTCCTCAGGATGGACCCCATCCAGAGTCCTCTGAATAGGTACCACTCAACATGTCCCGAGTAGCCTTCATTCCCTGTGTATGGCATACACTGTGAGCATTCCCTGGGAGTAGACTCCAGGGACCAGTGTCCCCCACACTGAGACAGTGCATCATGGTGAGTAGTTGGGGGCAACTGAGTGCCCCCTGGGGTTGAGAAGACCTCAGCTGGACACAGCCAGGTGACCATGGACTGAAACTTCTGGAACCATGAGCCAAGATAAAATTTTCTTCTCAGTAGTTCATATCAGGTATTTTGGTCACAGTGATGAAAAGCTGACTAACACACTAGGTAAAGGTATTAACTCAGTGACATAAAGTAACAGCATACATGTGAAAGTGACCTGGAGTGTTGCCAATTAATCCTGCTCTTTTCATTGTAGGTTGTCACTGGGATGAACTACTACTTGGATTTGGAGATGGGTCGAATCACCTGCACTAAGACTCAGTCTGACCTATCTAAATGTGCCTTTGATGATTCACAAGATGAGCAGGTATGTCATTGATGTGGGCCCAGGGCTGATCATGAAGACTTCCATGTGAGCTTGTTTGTATGCTCATGTGTGAGAGTGTCAAGAGATGCATGTGTGTTCATGCATGGGTGCATGTGTTGACTGTGTGTGTAGATGAGTGGGGGAAGCGTGGTGTTTCATGAATAGGTATATGTGAATGTGGGGTGTGTGTGAGTTAATGTACATGTTGACCTGTGCACATGTGGGGTGCTGCAGGAGGGGCCATGTGGGTACACATGATCAACTTGAATTACACAGTGGGTTTTCCCTTCTAATTAGGGTCCCAGGAGGACACTCTTTTGTGTTTGGGTGTTCTGCCTGCTGGCCTGAAGGACATAGCTACAGGATTATTGCTGGAGAGGGAGAAAAATCTCTGTCAATGCCAACTTTGGCCACCTGCCCAGAGCCATGCTGGACAGATTAGGGGCCTGAAAGCAGATGAAACCCTCTGGTGCTGTCCCTGCTTTCTCCGTGCCAGCCTCTCTATGGCCCTGGGGTGAGCTGCCCTCACCTGGTGTACCTTCCCCCGACTCTGCCTATTTCAGTGTTGTTTCCTATGCTGCCACTTCTTCCCTCTGTGCCCCTGTTGGTGCTGGCCTAGGTGCTGGAGGTGGAGGGAGTTGGGACAGTGAGCAGCCTTCCCTGCCCTGCACCCCTGTGTCTCCCACAGCCTGACCCAATCTGCTTCTTAGTCGACTGGAGTTGAGCTGGGGGCAGGTGGATGTGGAATCCTATGAACTGGGGAGAGATTCACATGCCTTCTGGTGGACTTCGAGCAATGGGAGGGTAATGAGTAGATACTGCTGAGTTTGGTTGAATGTCAGATTTGGACTTGGCAAGGGTGGTTGGAGGCTGAGAGTCCCACCTCCGTCATTCTGTACCCCATGTCTGACATCTCAGATTGGACATTTTCCCTGTTAATTGAAACTCACACGGTTTGTCCTTTCTCTTCCCTTTTGCAGAGGACCTTCTGCTCCTTCCAGGTCTACAGTGTGCCCTGGCTGGGCCAAATCTCCGTGACAGAATACAGTTGTCACAATGAGTAAGGGTATGCGCCAGGCAGAGCTGCATTGGTCACCCCTTCCTCATCCCACTCTCCTTTAATGCCCCAAATCCCTGATATCCCCCAGCCCTTATTGTGTCAGCATCAGCAGAACAGTAGAAGTGGCTTCTGTGGACAAGTGTTGAAACCGAATGGCTCTTCCCGTGTTCATTCCTTCTCATTATTTTTCAAACACATTGGTACCTGGCCCATAAGGACCTCTCCTGCCTTGCCAATAAAAAGTGACATGTATTCCTCCTGAGTAGTTGCTGTCTTGGGGGTGCATGCAGGAAGGGTCTGCCGCAGATGGGGAGCTGAGGCCTACGTGTGTGCACTGGGGCCAGTGCTGCCACTTTTTGGGATATCTGGTCTCAGAGGACTGAAGAGAGGTGATGGGGTGGGATTGCAGGTATCCAGCTGCAGCTACTGCTGGGGAATGGAGAAGAGAGAGTAGGGACCTAGACTATCCTTCTGGAAGTCTGGCTGCTGCCTTTGAAAGAAGTTAGATGGTGAGGAGAGTCTGGGCAGTGCCCAGGGTTGGGGGTGGCCTTCTCCATTTATGTACAACTGTGGGCGGCTGGCACTGTCCTGTCCCTGAAAGATTCCAAGAGACTGAACAAACAGTAATTTCTGTCTCCTATCCATGCAAGGTTTAGGCACCTACATGAAACAAAGGCTGAAAATACATTAGTGTGCAGGTAACTGACTGGGGATGTACCAGTCAGAATCCAGAACAGAGCAATGTAATGCAGAGTGGGGGCCTCTGGGATTGGTGCTCAGTAGGGTTCACAGATGGACACTCCCTGCATTATCTTTGCACTTGATTGTAAAACATTCCTTGTGCTCAGCTTTCTTAAGGGATTAAGCATTGAAAACACAAAGAAGTTGACATGCAGTGGACTTGCTTCTGTTTCCAAGAGGAAGTTTTCATTAATATCACCTTGATGTCACTACTGGTGCAAAGAACAGGGATATGTTATCACCAAAAATGGAGATCCTGATGAAATAAAAGATACATGCTTCACTCCTTTCTGCACTGGGGAAAAGGTGAAGCCCTTACAATCCGAGTCACTGGTATAGGGCTCTCAAATTCCTTCTAGGAACTGCATTAGAAACCTTTCTTGCCGTTACTGCTATAATCACCGAAGGTAAAATGATAAACAGAGACCCACAAAGACAGTGAGGCTTGAACTCCAGGAGTTTTGGAGTAGAAAGGGGAGCCCAGCCAGCAAGGTAAAGCGCCCCCTTCCATGGTGCTTCATTTTCTATCTAGCCATTCAGGCACATCCTTCTTACCCCTGATTGGATTTGACTGTGACCAGTGGTCCTGGGGAGGAAGCCCACCTGTTGTATGCACTACATGCTTGGTTTTACATTATTCATTTATTTTCAATGTATACTCTAAGTATATATTTTATATAAGATAATCCCCAGAAATAGGTTCAGTACAGTGTCTTGCTTAGAGTATAACTCAATAAGTTTTAGACAGTTTTCATTAGTGTGGTAATATGTTATGGAGATTTTAAAACATGGCCCTGAGCCTCTTTGCCACTGCTGGCATGGAGGAGTGGGTTCTGTGTCCCTGCCTCTTACCTCTGCCAAGGCTTGTGATTACATCAATAAAAATTGTTCAGGAAGGGAGATGGGTGACCTTGAGGCTTGGGTCAGGAATATTCTCTCCTGAGTTCTCTTGGATCCTCGCCCTTGGGGAAGTGAGGCTCCTTGTGAGGTGCTGAATCTCAAGATTTCCATGCTGAGATACCTTAGGAGGTGCACTGTCTCAGTGTGGGGGACACTGGTCCCTGGAGTCTACTCCCAGGGAATGCTCACAGTGTATGCCATACACAGGGAATGAAGGCTACTCGGGACATGTTGAGTGGTACCTATTCAGAGGACTCTGGATGGGGTCCATCCTGAGGAAAAATCTGAGACACCCAGAATGAGCAGTCTATACACTTATGTGTAGCTTAACTGCACGGACATTCTCTGAGAAATGTGTCCTTACAGGATTTCGCTGTGCAAATGTCATATTCTACATAACAAACTACTATGCCTACAATGTCACTAGGTGATACCTTCTTAAGGAACTACAGTGTATATGTGGTCATCCTAGTGGGCACATGACTGCACACCACAGCTGACTAGGACATTGACTGCAGCATACGAGGACATCCATCACTGGACATCACCAAATTTAAGTCTGTGAATTAGCTAACTGAATATGACAGTGTTAACTCCAGATTTTCAAAACTGAATCATAGATAAGGTAAGAGAATGTCCATGTTTGCGAGGAAGATGCACTGAAGTGTTGACTCTAAAAAGGTCCAGAAAAATAAATGCATACAAATACATGCATGTACACATGTGTCCTGGAAGAACGAGGACCAAGGAGGAAACTTGGCCTACTATGAGGCTCTAGAGATGCAATAATGCCAAAATAAAAGGGGAAAACACTCTAAAGATCTTGTTGAAGGCATCCAAGGGGCATATGTTTTGGCCATCTCCTGTAGTCATTCAGTTAACAGTTCACACTAATTCCAGGCCCTCTCCAGGCTGGTGGTAGGGATCTATAACCAGGGCAGACCCTGACCCTCATCCTGACCTGTAGCCCTGGTACTCCTTGCCTGATGGTAGCTGGAAACAGAAATAAAACCCCTGGAACCCACCTAGAGCTCCAGGCAAGGTGGGTTTCCAGGTCCTGTCTGAGGACAATCCCCAGGACAGAACCCCAAAGGGCTGCAGGGCGACAGAAAATTACCTAGGACAGGGCTTGGGTGAGCAGCAGTTTGTGTAACTAACCTGGCAGATGAGAACAGCCCCAGGCCATAGCTGCTGCGCACCCCAGAGCTTCTGGCTCTGGATTCCCAAATGGGAAGCAGTAGCTAAAAGGGAGAGGGTGGGCCTGGGGAAGCATGACACGCCCTGTGAGGGGCAAGTCCTTCTGACCCAGGCCCAGGGATCAGCACACACCTGCTGGCGGGCACGCACCACCCTCCGCACACGGCTGTAATACAGGTTGTTGTTCTCCTGGTTGTAAACGCCCACGGAGTAGTCTATTGCCTGTCGAACGCCCTCCTCATGGATGTCAGCATCCTCCAGGCCACCCAGTGTTTCCTGAGAGCTACTACTCAGCTTGGAACTCTCACTGGCTGCACAGAAAGCCACCAAGGCTGACAGCAGGAGCAGTGGGAGGTGCAGAGTTGTCACCATGGTTGATTCTGACCTGGAGCTGTACCTGCAACCAAGCAGAGGGGAAGTGATCCATCCTGCAGCCAAGGTGATTTTATCCCTCTCTGGCTGCCAGGCCCTCCCCAACCCTGCCTCCTCCTTTCCTGGCTACCTCTACTGCCCACATCTTGGATCCTATTTGTCCAACCTCTACACTTCCGTCCTTCCTCCAGTGAACTTTCTCCTGCTCCCCAACACGGATGTTACACCCTATGTAATACCCTGATCTGTCTCGTTAACTAAAGGTTCCGGATTATAATAAGTTTTCCTAACAAATCAAAACCACAAACTTTAACCATTGTTCAATATTAATAGGCAGCAATCTATTCAGAGGCCATAAAGAGACTAAAAGATCCTTGATCTTAAGCTCCTAATCCCTTCATGACTGGACATGTTCATCCTTCAAAGGCTTGCTAACATTTCCTGGCATCTCCGCCTCCTGTATTGTCAACGTGTGCTGTTGTTGGTGTGTTCTTAGCTTGCAGCTTCAAGCTTATGTGTTAAGAATTATGATAAATTACCATCCTCTATCTGTCGTTCAACTAGAAGTTGACCAACCTAAGGAGAGGCTGATTCTATGCACAAAGTACATCAGCACCAGTGCATGGAGCTCAAACCATCTTCTTACTTGTACTCAGACTTCACTTCTTTGTTCTGGTTTATATTTCAATTGAAAGTTTAAGCATGCAAATGAGAAGATGTTTAATACAGAGAGCCACAGATGAATTTAAAAATCCAGCTCTTCCCCATATTACAAAAGATCCCATCATTCAGACACTAAATTGGAATGAAAGAGGAGGATATTTATTATAGGAAGTGATGAATGAAAAAGAAACATGAAAGGACAAGAATCCACTTTTTAAAATACTAGACACAGACATCATCTGTCCAACATCACAACTGACAATGACATGTAAAAGGGATTTGGGTCTTCAGGTAACAATGTATTTTTTGGTGTCTAAACTAAAATTCTGCCACCCAAGAACAAAAGAGTGTACACAGTCAGAAAGAATCTGCTCGACTTTAAAATTCAGCTTTTCTTTGGGAGTGGAGCATTATGGCGAGGTGAGGGGTGGGTATTGAATACAGGTGGGTATGAACTACATCCCCATCCTTTTTTCATATTTGATTTTGAAAGAGGGTCTCACTAAGTTGCTGAGGCTGGCTTTGAACTGCAGATCCTCTAGCCTCAGCTTCCCAAGACACTAGGATTACAGCCGTGGGCCACCAGGACTGGATAAAATTCAGCTCTTTAGGTAAGTTGATAAAAAAAAAAAGACCTGTTTGAGCCAGAACATCTTTCTCAGCATTTAGTACATTTATTTGTTGAAACTAGGCACCCAGCACCGAACTAAGTCCTTAACTAGAATTGTTACACTAAGCGATGTACAATTTTACACTGCTATATGCAGTGACATCCAATAAAGTATGACTAAAGACAGTGTCATACAAAGCCCCAGGACCCTAGCTTCCAGAAGGCAGGACTCACCACAGAAGTTTGTTCTTATTTTCCTGTGATGAAGGAGATGAAACAAAACACAGCAAACAAACAAAAAACTACAGTTACTTCTGGATTTACTACAAAATCTCTTGAGTAGCTTTCATAGAGCTGATTGTACACACTTTTTCAATATATATTTTTCTGACTTGATATCTATGCAATCAGTTTCCTCCTTATTCTACTATTCAAACTTGAGACAGGATCCTTTCAAGTCAGTGATTCTCACAGCTCATTAGACCTGGGCAGTCCTTTAATATAAAGACAGTATCCGTTGT